TTCGCAATTAATTTCAACTTCCGCTAACTGTAGACACACTAAATGGTCATTTAAAAGATATTGTACCCAGACATGTTCTCCAGTCATTTTTGCGTTATCAATGTATTTTCGAGAAATAACATCAACAGTGGCTCCTGTGTCTCGAAGAATAGGCATTTCATACCCATTCACTACACCGTTAATTGTATATGTCTCTAACAAATCATCATTCGAAGATACGCAATTTACCTTTTCATTTGGTTTTAAGCGAGGACACTGAGGCTTAAAATGTTCGTATGATCAACACTCGAAACAACGTGGTCGATATCTTTTGTCATATAAATTTTCTTGGTTTTTGTTTTGGAACTGATTGCTTTGCTAATGATCTTTCTTGTATTTTGAATCATCCCATCTATCAGAATGCTTAAAATGAGGCGGATGCTCTATTTGTTTCACAAAATTATCATAACGCGGTTTAAATGATCCTTTGTTAATTTTCTCAGTCTGATTGGCAGAAAATTTCGGTTTTATTGTTTTTCTCACATCTTCAAAATCTTCAATTTTCTTAACCATTTCAGTAGGTGAAATGATGGTTGTCCATTGATCCATAAAATGTTCTTTGAAATCAGGAGAAGTACGCTTTTTGATTTGATCAACCAGCATGAGATCTTTTAGCTGTTCAAATGTTTTAATGATTAATCCGTTAAGCCATCCTTCTAAATAAATGTTTAATTCATAGTAGAAATCATACCAAGTACTTTCAGTAGATTTTTGGTGTTTATTAAATAGTTGTCCAAATTTTTACGCACTCAATTTAAATCGTTGTAACAGTAAAGATTTTACATATTCATACTATTTCGCGTCCTCTTCTGGTTCTCTAGCAATAAGCTGAACAATGCCAAGAGGCAGCAAGGAAATAAGTTGAGTCACTTGATTTTCAGCAGGTATATTTATTATTTTAGCTTGACGCTCAAATAACACCAAACGTAAACGTATTTCATCTTCTTTAGGGTTGAAACGTGGCATGACATCGTGAATTCTGATTTTTAAAGGCTGCTCAGGTAACTGCGTAGTTTCTACCGGCTGTGCTGTTGCAGCCATTGCTTCCAACTGAAGTTTCTGTAGCTCAAAGACTCTAATTTGCTCTTCTCTGCTCTTCTTTTCTTTCCCTTTATTCTCTTTCGCGTTCTTCTCTTCTTTCTCTTTCTTCTCTTTCGCGTTCCTTTTCTCTTCCTTCCCTTTCGTGTTCTTCTCTTCTTTCTCTTTCTTCTCTTTCGCGTTCTTTTTCTCTTTCTTCTCTTTCGCGTTCTTTTCTCATTCTTCTCTTTCGCGTTCCTTTTCTCATTCTTCTCTTTCGCATTCTTCTTTTTGTTCCCTTTCTTCTCTAATTGCAGCCAGTAGTTCTCGAGTAAACTCCTCAACTCCTCATCATAATCGGGGCTTTCAGTAATCAGTTTATGCAACTGAGCAATCTTAAATTCAGGTTTCACGGTTAAACCTAACTCTTCTGCTAGTACTTTTAAATCTTGTTTATTACTCCTAGCTAAGAATGACATGTTGACACAAGTTACCTTTATTAGGCTTTCTTTTGAAATTTCTAATCTATGTACAAAATTATAGCAATTCTCAAATATCCATAAGTTATTAACTTTGCGTTAAAATTTTAAGGCGGTTACTTTAACATTCAATTGGCATAAAACCCTGTTACATCTAAACTCCGAACTATCAGCGCCTCCACATCTAAACTCCGAACTATCAGCACCATTACATCTAAACTCGAGAATAATCCTACGGAAGAACGTAGTTAGAACTCTGAATCCGAACTCGAATGACTGTTAGCTGGAGAGCGCGTAATTTCATGTAATCTAATAATTGTATATAACTGTATCTAAATATAATATCTTTATTTATACAGAAGTGTCAGTTTTTATGCAAAAGCTTGGAATTATTTAGATATTTCATCGAATAAGAATTAGAATGGAACAAGCTCGGCTCCCGGGTGAAAGAAAAGGTAAGAGATTTCTTTTTACCTTTTAGAATTCTATTGAGAGATACAACAACAAATTTTGGCATCCCTGCCGGGACGCCCGAGCTAAGAATAAGAATTTAAATTAGACAATAAAGATTAAGAATACAATTATTGATTACATTTTGAATTTTTGAACTGTTAAGAACATGTCTGAAGAGATTTTAAATAAATTAAAAAAGAAGCGCGCAGCTCTCCGAACATCAGTAACGAAATCGCTTAAAGATTTGGAATCGCAGCTTTCGGAAATTGATCCGAAAATCCATGATTTGGAAGAAAATTTAGAAATATTAAAGAATAATTTCGAATCGCTTAAAAGTGTCGATACAGAATTAGAACCTCTTTTTAAAGTCGAAGAATTTGATGCTGAATTCCAAAAATCTGAAGAATATCGTCAAAAGGTCGTTAAATGCAGTTTCCGTACCTCCAAAAGAATCGACGAATTAAAACGCAAATCTACTGAAACGGTAGTAAATAACCAGTTCAGTACTGATAGTCAAAGCGAACCAAAACATAACGAGTCTGTTCGAATTAAATTACCTAAGTTAACTTTAACGAAATTCTACGGAGATATAAACAACTGGCTAACCTTTTGGAACAGTTTCGAGTCTGCCATTCATAAAAATGATTCATTAGATAAAATAGACAAATTTAATTATTTGAAAGCTCATTTAGGTGGTTCTGCTTTAAATACAGTCGAAGGATTACCGATTACTGCTGCTAATTACGATTCCGCAATTGATCTTCTAAAAGAAAGATTTGCGAAAACAGATGTGCTCATTTACACTCACATAAATAACATTTTGAACACTAAACCGTTGAAAATCTCGAATGATGTTCGCGCCTTTAGAAAATTTTATGATAATATTTCTATCGAATTAAGATGTTTAGAAAATTTGGGTCAGTCTCTCGAGAATTTATCAAGTGTGTTATGTCCAATAATTCTGAAATCACTTCCCCAAGATATTTTGCTTGAGATTAACAGAATGAGTAATGGAAGTGCGTATTGTAATATTAAAAGCCTGTGCTTGATTATAGCTCAATGTTTAGATTCACGCGAAAGGGCGGAAGTCATAAATAAGAATTCAGAGCATTCGACAGCGAATAGTGGGCGCCGTCAGTCTGCGTATGCAGTCCAGAAAATAAACACTCGTCATTTCAGCGATGGAAAGAGCAATAAATTAGAAACGAAAGCTTCTTCTGCTTCTGATTTAGTGTCCACGGGTATTAAAGAAAAATTGATTAAGGCATGCGTTTTTTGCGGAGATTTTTCCCATTCAAGCCATAAATGTCCTATTGCCCAGAAACTAACTAATGACGAAAAGGTTGAAATACTACGCAAAAATGGCACTTGTTTTAGGTGTTTACAAAATAAGGGTCACATCAGCAAATTTTGTGATTCTAACATTTTTTGCTCCCATTGTCACTCTAAGCATTCTACGATTATGTGCAACAGAATTAATTCCGAGAGTAAAAAGGGAACGATCAAAACTGTCCAGGAAGTTGAAAATAAAGTACTTTCGAATCAAAGCAACCGTTCTGAAGTTTATTTACAAACTTTGGTCGTAGGGGTAGCTGGGAAAACCTTAAAGGGTTATTTAAGATTGCTAATAGACACCGGAAGTCAGAACACGTACATAAGTCAATATGCTGCTAAAACGTTGAAATTAGAAAAGATAGGAACTGAAAGAATTAAACATGGGTTATTTGGGGGTGTAGAAGTTTCGGAAGATCATAATCGTTATCAAATAGATTTAACTAGTTTGGATGGAAAGTACAGGTGTAAAATCGAAGCACTAGACCAGAGGAAAATTTGTTCGTCACTACCTAAGATCAAAGACGAAAAGTTAATTAAAGTAATGGAAAAAAGGGGAATCCTTATCAACGACAATCATGCGAATGGAAATCTCTGTCTGTTTCAAGAAAATCCGGAAGAGATTCATATGCTGTTAGGAGCGGACACCGCAGCACAATTGTTCACTGAAAGAATTGAACATTTTGCGGGGGATTACGTAGCCTTTGAGACCAAGTTAGGCTGGACTTTAATGGGCAAGATTAAAGAGAATGCGAATACGTCGAGTTCCCTGTCCGTTCTTTCTTTATCCTTACATGTTTCCGATACAAATTTGTCCAATCTTTGGCGTTTAGACACCTTGGGGATTTCAAGTGAGGAAAACAAAACGAAAAGTGTCTTGGAAGAAGAAACCTCGAAAACATTTCTTAAAAAGTGTAAAACGAGATAGCTCAGGGAGATATGAAGTAACCTTACCCTTTATTTTAGATAAATCCGTCTTATCCAGTAACCGTACTGTGGCAGAAAGACACCTCGTCAAAACCGAAAGTAAACTAATTAACACACGCAGAAGAAAAGATTACGAAGAAATATTTGATGAGTGGGAAGCGAAGGACATTATTGAGGTAGTAACTGAGGAAAAGGAGGAAGGAGTGCACTACTTGTCACACAGACCTGTAATAAAAGAGTCTAGTGAAACTACAAAGATACGGCCTGTTTTCAATGCATCTGCACGTTCTAAGAATTCACCCTCTCTCAATGATTGTTTGAGTAAAGGACCAAATTTAATAGAAATTATTCCACGTATATTGAATCGTTTTCGAAAATATCGCATAGGAGTGTCATCTGATATCGAAAAGGCCTTTTGTCAAATCAAAATAGCAGAAAAGGATAGAGATTTTTTAAGGTTTCTATGGTTCGATAATCAACATAAGTTTAAAATTTACAGACATAACCGAGTTGTTTTTGGACTCACATCAAGTCCGTTTCTGCTAGCCGCTACACTTAGTCACCTTTTGACTACAGTCCCAGAAAAAGTTTGTAGAAACTTCTAATATTTTGAAGGATTCATTTTACCTCGATAATTCGTTAATTAGCTTAAATCACGTAGATGAAGCCGAAAATTTCGTTCAAGAAGCAAGATTGATTTTGGCTTCAGGGCATTTCAATTTGAGATGTTGGCGATCAAATTTTCGCATTGACATGATCGATGAGATAGAGAGCAAGACGAAAGTTGTCCCAGTATTAGGATTAGTATGGGATTTAGAAAAAGATAGTTTGAGTTGCAAGATCGAAGAAACATTTAACTTGAGGGAACCTATTACCAAAAGAAAAGTTTTGTCAATTACCCAGAAAATTTTTGATCCCATTGGCTTTACTGCACCGATAACTGTAATTCCTAAGCTAATTTTGCAAGAAACATGGAACCAGAAGATTAAGTGGGATGAAGATCTTCCTCTTCCCCTAAGTGAGCAGTTTGGGACTTGGTTGAACCAATTGCCTCTGCTATCTCAGATTGAAATTCCTCGTTGGTTAAATATTGATTACGAAAACGAAGATACCGTAGTGCTCCACGTTTTTTCGGATGCTAGTAAAAGAGCCTATGCCACATGTGCATTTTTAAGAGCTGAAACCATCGAAGGTGTAAAGGTTCAGTTAGTAAGCGCGAGAAGTCGAATAGCCCCTATTAAGGAACTTACGATTCCACGGCTTGAACTTCTTTCCTGTCTGATAGGTGCCAGGCTTGCCAAAACAATTCTATCAGATTTGAAACTTAAGAATTGTAGAACAGTGTTCTGGAGTGATTCTTCTACAGCTTTGGGGTGGATAAGAAGGGATCAAGCATGGGGTACGTTTGTTCACAATCGAGTACAAGAAATAAGATCGCTTACCAGAATATCTGACTGGAGGCATGTACCTGGAAGTTTAAACCCAGCGGATCTCCCATCGAGAGGATGTACTATTGAGCAATTACAGAAATCGGCATGGTGGGAGGGCCCATCGTGGCTTTACTTACCAGAAGACGAGTGGCCCCATGTAGAAGAAAAGCCTGATGAAGAACTTATAAACAAAGGAAAAAAGGAAAACGATTCTGACTCTTCTAGATCATGGAGACAATTTGGACCGGTACTACAAATACTTCTCTTCATATAGAAAAACCGTGAGAATGATCGCTTGGATTTTCAGGTTTTATCACAATTTAAAGAACAAAGATAAAAACCTCACTCCTGATGTCTCAGTTGATGAATTGGAGAATGCTGAAAAGGCACTTTGTAGATTGGTACAGAAAGAATCATTTACAGGCATAAACGATCCCGCTATTCGTGCGCTGAGACCAATCGTAGACCAAAATGGAATTTTAAGAGCCAAAACGAACGTCCTACAGCGTCAAGATAATGAAAATTTCCGATATCCTATCATTTTACCTTCAAAACATATTCTTGTTGAGAGACTAATTTACGAGAAACATCTAGAACTCCAGCATGCTGGTGTCAGCACTTTAATGACAAATCTTAGAGAAAACTTTTGGATATTAAAATCCAGAAAAAGTATTCGAAATATTATCAGAAAATGTGTAAGATGTAAAAGATTTGTTTCACAAAGAGTGGAAGTCGAGCCAGGATTTCCACCCGAAGATCGAGTCAGAGAAGGGGCGACTTTTGAAGTCGTCGGTGTAGATCTAGCGGGTCCTCTCTATCTCCGTGAGGGGTCTAAAGCGTGGATAGTCTTGTATACATGTGCCATTTATAGAGCCATTCACCTCGAACTAGTTACTTCTCTATCTACAGAAACTTTCATCCAATCTTTACGTAGATTCATTGCCAGAAGAGGTAGACCTTATGTGATATATTCCGACAACGGAACTAATTTTGTAGGGACTAACAGTGTTCTTAAGAAAGTTAATTGGAACGCCATATGTTCAGCTGCTTCTATCCAAAGGATACGATGGAAGTTCAACCCTCCGACCGCCGCCTGGTGGGGAGGTTGGTGGGAGAGGCTTGTGCGAATGGTGAAAGAAAATTTAAGAAGAGTGTTAGGTCGAACGTCCTTAAATTATGAAGAATTATATACTATATTATGTGACTGTGAACAAGTGATTAATTCGCGACCTATCACATACGTATCAGAGGATAATCAAGATCCATCACCACTGACCCCTATGATGTTTCTGCAAGAATTGCCGTCATCTGGAGTTCCTGATATGGACTACGTAGATTCCAAAGAACTAAACCGTCGAGCCAAATACCGACAGAGAATAAGACATGATCTACGAAACAGATTTCGTAATGAATATCTTGGTCAGTTGAGACAACAGGCAATAAAGAAAGGAAAATTTCAACAATTGCAAGTAGGCGATGTCGTTTCTATTGGAAGACAGCCAGAGACGACGCATACATTGGCCTTTAGCCAAGATAGTCGAGCTTTTCCCCAGTAAAGACGGAATAGTTAGACTAGCGAGGGTCAAGACAAGAAATGGAATTCTGCTTCGTCCAGTGCCCCGGCTTTTCCCGTTGGAGATCTCTACTTCCGAATCCGTTGGCCCTCCGTTCCCCGACAGAGCACCTCGAGATAGAAACGACCATGCAACTGGTCAGGCTGATCAGGCTGCTAGTATTCCAGAACCTGCCTCAAGTCCTCGAGTGATGACCAGAGCTGGACGAGTTGTTCGGCCTCCTCATCGACTGGACCTGTGTGTATTGAGTTCCTCCGCATCGTCGGATCTCAATGGTGGGAGGTGATGTTACATCTAAACTCCGAACTATCAGCGCCTCCACATCTAAACTCCGAACTATCAGCACCATTACATCTAAACTCGAGAATAATCCTACGGAAGAACGTAGTTAGAACTCTGAACCCGAACTTGAATGACTGTTAGCTGGAGAGCGCGTAATTTCATGTAATCTAATAATTGTATATAACTGTATCTAAATATAATATCTTTATTTATACAGAAGTGTCAGTTTTTATGCAAAAGCTTGGAATTATTTAGATATTTCATCGAATAAGAATTAGAATGGAACAAGCTCGGCTCCCGGGTGAAAGAAAAGGTAAGAGATTTCTTTTTACCTTTTAGAATTCTATTGATAGATACAACATATCATTTAGTAACTAATTTGTATACGAGGAAACCATCTACCACGCCTGGATGGCGAGAACGGAACATTTGCAGTAAACAACCACTCTACGTCATTTGACGTATTTATTTTCACGCGCCTACTTGGCAACAAATTCAAAAACTCAGCTAGCAGTTCTTTTATATAGATTTATAAATGCCGGGATTGGCTTACACATATCAGTTATCAACATAAAAATTCAAGTACAAATAAAAGTAAAAAGCTAAATAATAATTTTTCAAATATACTTCTTTACCACCAGAAATATCAATTATAAATTTAAGCCTGAATATTTTTAGTGTCAGTTATTTTAAACAAAAATCTTACACGATAAACTATAATTCTGAAATGAAAGTATTTAAAATTCAATAAACAGCTTTTTTAAGAAAACCAAAAGTTAATCTTATCTTTCAGAGGATCACCAAGTATCCTGTTTTGACAATTCTTTGCTCGGACGCAAGTTATAGAAAGCACAGAAGATAATCTTTGAATGATCCTGCTTCAAAATCTGGCTTTAAAACGGCAGACTTCTTACATCCATTTCTTCTTGAAATAAACAAACTCGGCAATTGGTATTAGCAAACTTGTTCTAAAAAATTCAGCAAATTTCTGGGATTACTAGACCAGCACCATCGAAATTGATAATTGCACTCCTAATTTCCAGGATCTCGGTGGAACCTCCAATTAATTAAGACTGTAATGTATTTTGCAGTAATTGACAAAGGCAATCTTCTTATTAGAACATAAATTTTATTTCTAGTTCACGGTGATAGACAAATTTTATACAATTCTTAAGTGGCAAAATTTTAATACTACTCCTAGCTGGTAAAATCTTCAGAATTTCATCTTTTTTTTAAAACAATATCTCACGTTGCTGAGTAACGGTTTAATACAAATATGGCGTTGCCACTTCAACAATAATTATATTTATTTATTAAATAACAAGATATTACAGTATAAATTCACGCATATCTTTGGAAATTTTGAAAGAAAAATCAAATTTATTTGCATGTAGTAGCAATTTAAAATGATGGTAAAATCTTTACAGGTTATTTTAAAAAAAGTTTTCGAAAAATTTATAAAAATTACTAAATATGATTTAAAAAATAAATGAGAAAATATCTGAGATTTTTTTGGTCTGCACCAAAATTTTGAATTCTGATAGAAGGAATCAAGTAAAATATGGAAAAATTCTGTTGAATTTTACATTCTCAGATCAAAGAAATTAAAAAAAAATTCTGTCATACATTTAAATTTAAAAGCTTACAAAAGTCAGAGACATATATTCTTTTGAAATAAAGAGTTATTAGTTTAAAATGGGTTTCATAGTATTAAACGCTTGACCGAATTTCTTACTTGCTAACCTTTCTATCAAGGCCCACCAGCGGCCGAGCGGTAAAGTTGCTGAACACTGGTAGTTCGGTCCGAGGTTCGAATCCCGCGAACGGGCTGGCTGCATGGGTGTTTTCGTGGTTTTTCCCATGTGTAACGTGTATACGAGCCAGTTTTCCTTAGAAAGTCCTCCACGAAGGCATCCATCCTCTTAGGCAGATAGCCCTGGTGTGCTTTGCCATAATTAAATACACCAACACCAACACCAAAGCTAACCTTTCTATCAAAACGTCACTGTAAATATTGCGTTTCTGCAAACACAGTGTAGAGAAGGAGAAACATTCACAAGATTCACACCATTAAGCGTTTCTTAACTTCGGTCCGCGGACCACAAAGTCATCCTTGACGCCTGACCTTGTGGTCATCCTATATCTAAAAAAAAAAAAAAAAAAAAAAAAAAAAAAAACATATTAATTGCTCGTATCACACTATATCCTAGAAGCTCAGAGTCTAGAAATTGCACATGGAAATCACCTATGACTTTTTTTCCTGAAGCTGACGTGTTATGTATGAATTGTATTACCAGTTACCCTACTTAGGAATTTCCCACACTAATCCCAGCTACAGAAGACGGATTTAAAGCACTATGGTTGTGGTGTATCTTACCAGCAAACTTTCAAGGGTAGAATTCTGGACAAGAATCAGCAAACATTAATACAACTACCAACATTTATTTCATTTATAGTTAATAATCGAAACTCTAATTGCCTTAAATAAATAAAAACATGCATAAACTTTCATCTGTTAATCTAATTACTGTATAAAATTAAGAGTATTTTTAAAATATATGTATATTGGTAATAACATGTGCTAAAAATTGTTTTCGGGGAGACAAGAAATGTCTGAACATATATATATATATGCATATTCACGCATATAAAAAATTTAAAAATTTTAAAAATTAAAATTCATACGAAATAAGTATAGTAAAGAGCGTAAAATATTAATTTAATTAAGATACATTAAACGTAAGTACAGAACACAGGCTGTGCTGACAGCGAGGACGGCAACTGAGAGTTACTCAAGCCTGTTTGAGATTATTGTGTGAGATATTGACGCAGTCGCATATGCGTTTCAAATGTAAGGATTATGTTAATTTTATTAGCAGTTAAATTTTGAGTTAAAGTTCCTTTCCTGTCAATTCTTAGCTTGAACTTACCACTTCCGGCCAGAACATAGTTTTAGAATCCCATCTGAATACATAATGAGGAAGAGCGGTATTTAACCGGGAAATTCTTCAGTCTTAGAGAGAGAGAGATACCAGGTATTCTGGCTGCACGCGTGTCCGTCTTTTTAGGCTGCTCTTTCGTAAGCTATTATCACGCTCCGGCCGTACTTTAGGCCCTTGATAGCTTCGCAGTCTATTAACGTTAAGTGGCCAACTCTGTTAGAATTTTGATAGCTTCAGCTATACTTCTTTAGTTTAGATTAGTTTAAGTTAATTCTTAGTATCTTTAGTTGAAGCCGAAGTGTCGTCTTTACCGTACACTCCAAGACGGAGTTTGTTAAATCTTAGTTGGAATAATAAAGGGTAAATTTACCCTTCTATCTTGTTGTTCCTGTCACACGAACTCAAGCGATTATTCGCATATCAGTTCTTAAGATTCTTCACTTCCAACAACAAATTAAGATTATAAAGTGAGGAAC